CCCCAAAACCCCAAAACCCCAAAACCCCTTCTTGAAGCTCCAAGATTGAATGATCGCGAAAGATGAGTCATGCAGGTGTAGATTACTTCATTAAGCTCATCAAAATCATCGCTGTTTTTCTATCAATAAGGATCCCTCTTCGGTTTTGCATGAGCTTCGATCTTAAGACACTCTTAAAATACTCATAGACAAGTACAGCTTCGTTGTATTCATAAACTCAATCTTGGGCTCTAAAAGATTGCTTTGAAATTACCTTTGTCTTGATGGTATTTTTCACAAAGCTTCAGTGTGAGGCCTCTTTGCATTCACAAAATAACTCTTATGCTTATGAATAATCTCTTTCATAAACTTATTCATTGTTGTTATTTCTACTACATCCAAGATATCGCTCTGGGATAACTTTGCAGGTGAGTCTGGAATATACGAAGGATTGTTATCATTCTCTAAATCGATCCACTCTTCTTCTTCCTCTACCTCGGCTGATTTCACATCTGTGCTTTCAAGAGACAAGAGTATTTTCTTGACCTTTTCATATGTAGCAGACTCTGCTTCTACTTCAGGCACAAGAGTGCTCCCTGGGGTTTTATAGATAATCTCTGAATTTTAATAAGTACTCTTACTCATAAACTTGCTTAATATCTTGAGGGAGTGTAGACTAGGATATTTAAGAATAAACTTCATTCATCTCTTGTATTTTAATGTTTGGATGTACTCTTCATATCTATCCAGGACAGTCTGTAGGTCAACTTTCTGGACTAAAGATTAGACATTTGATGAAATACTCCTGTTCGAGGTAAATATTAAGACAGATTCTGTATGGTTAGGCTCACTTGAAATAGACCTGACCTTGATATTACTGTCGCCCTTAAATTCTTCGTATTCCTGATATGCAAGAACCTTCAGATTTACCAAGTCTATCAGTGTAATTTTAGGAATATTATCTTCAACATTAATACTAAAGCCTCAGTGAGGACTGCTTGTATATAACTTTCCAAGTTCTAGTTCCTTTGTCTTGCTTTGGAACTTATTTAGAAGTTTTAATTTCTCCTTCGAAGTTTCCTACACTTACGAACCCATTGTTCCGAGTAATATAGATCTTAGGCTGTGTCTCAATGATGGTGGAGCCATAAACGTAACCTAAGGATTGCTTTCCTATAAGCTTTGTTGAATAAGTCTCCAAGTCTAACTTAACCACTGAGCTAGTCATTGAGATAATCAGAAGATGGCCAGGCTGGCTTTCAGTATTCATATAAATTAGTTCGCACTGAATCATCTTCCCACCAAAAGTTTCAAGAGGAATGGTTTGAAGATGGTTTAGACTCTTATCTCAAATCTGGAAGAGTTTTATCTGTTGGGTAGAATATCATCAAATTATTAGTTTTTGCTTTTCATCTTGATCATTGATTATCCAAAATTTGGTCTTCCCTTTTGATTCTGATTCTGATAAAGCTGGACTACTTTCACTGATACTAAATTCTTCTAATATTTTCTCGGAATGATGATTAAAGTACAGTAAAGATTTGGATGTTAAAATCCAGATATTCTGGATGTTATCAAAGTCCTAAAAATGAAGGTAAAGGTACTTTATTTGATAGATTTTATATCCAAATCTTTTGCATCAATTGAGCCTAAACCTTAGCCAAATCTCCTACCGTATTCTTCAACGATCTTAACCAAATTAGCTTCATTATCCTCATTAACTTTGAGTATATACAAAATTCCCCCTCACAGCTGTAAAACTACAATAATTTGACCTTTTCCAAAAGCCACAACCTCAATATCCACTCAAGATTCCAATGCCGTTGTGATATAATCCCTATCTTCATCCTTAATCTACAAAATAATACCTCAATTTACCTGCAGATTTACTATCTTCTTCAGCAAAATCGTATCAATAAGCTCCATTTTCAATATTTTTATGCCCGAATGGGGTTTTGGGGTTTTGGGGTTTTGGGG